TACATGGTGGGAAGGTGGAAGGCAATAGTCCTGCAGAGAAAAATAAAAGGAGACCGACAAACAATCTAATGTCTAACACTGCATTTTTTTAAGAAGTCTGAGCATGTGTTGATGTCTTACAGTACTGCGAATGGTCGTTCGGGAGAAATGCAAATTCTAACCCAAGAAACTGAGTTTCTGTATTCGGATGTTGTTATTGTGTCTGCCCATCCTCCACTCAAAACACACACACACACACACACACACACACACACACCCCACAGAGTTTTCCAATTTATTGAGTGGTGAATTGTTTGCGTTTTGATCATTCCCTTCTTCAGACTTCCTTTAGTAGGTGATACTGTTATTTTCACAAAAGTATTTGGTCATTTGAGAAACCTGAATTCGAGTTACAAGAGCAACGGACATAATAAAATACGTTATCAATATTCTTTATTTCTGTAGAATAGAGAAACACGTATAGTTCTATAGAGCAGGATCAGCTCGAATAAAATATTGACTACTGTAGAATAGGCACTTTAAAATATATGTTCACTCCCTATTTTCATTAAGTGGTTGAATTAGTAGAAAATTATTTAAACTGCATACACTGATTTCTTAAAATCAGACCACGGCACTAACTAGATTAAAGTAGTAAATCAGAGGTTTCCAAAACATAGCAGAAAGAACTTAATAGATGAGATAAGAATTGTTTTTACTGTTGTGCTAAATTAAGGAGATTCTACAGTCATTTTGGACAATAGGTGCGCCTGGGCCTTTTGTTCTTTTTCTTTTATGTGATCATAAAGGAACAAATGTCTGTTTGGCGAGGACTGAGTGAGACATCTCCAAGAGCATGACCACGACCAGCAGCCTCTACTTATCTAAACTAAATTACAGCTTAATAATAGCACCTCATGCGCTGCCCTGCTGCGTTCCCCACCTGAGTGGACTGAGGCATCTTTCTGCTTAATTTCTCTCCTGTATTATGTCTTGATAATCAAAATGCATTATTATTTCTTTTCGAAATACAATGGGAATCCCTCCCACATCCCCCAAGTTCTGAAAATTCTCAAACCAGCCCTGGAGAAATACAAATGCACAAAGCGACAGGCGAAGCAGGCCCTGTGTTCAGCACTCAATCATTTCCTGTCACAGGTGCAGCCACTATGCATTATCCTGCCATGATTGATAGAGTGGGTTTGTGCAGACTGGGGGAGCTGGGGAGGCTCAGATGGGGTCCTGTCATTTGGGCTCCATTTCATACTACCTGTAGGGAAAAGGAAATTCTTTGCAGGGATTGGCTGTTTGGTGAGTTTTAAATTTTACTTCCTTATATACAATAGAAAGGTCATATTTTCTAAAAGATAAGTATAGCTTGGAGCCTTATCTTAAACTTCATGCGCAGCAAAACAGAACAACTAATCGGAACACAGTAGACTTCATTTCTTTTAGAGTTGACATGTTATAGAAGCGCATCACAACATTCCATGATTATGTTAACTATGTAGAATCATTTTCCTTAAACCTTAGTTTTTCAATAGGAAACACACATGCACACACACAAAACCTCAAAACATCTTGGTTTTTACCCCTAAATGGCTTAAGGAATAACCAACTAATATGGAGCTTGATGTCTGTGTAACAAGGCTAAAAAATGCACTTAAAATATTGTAAATCATTTTAGTAGACAGTGAATTATATTATATGCCATTCAATAACACAAGAAACAGGGGCACTATGATATGAAACAAAGTGGAAATCTTTATTATTTTAGGTTGTGGCTGTACTTCATTTTAGCTGGGGACTAGATTTTTGAGTTTGCTTTTACTGTGATCAGTCAAGATCTTAACTAATTAATGTAAGATCAAAGTTGACAACCATCTCACCAGTGTTATGTAAAACTGTAAAATCCTCTAGGTCCTTCATTTCTTTTTGAAATGGCTAAAGGCAAAATGATTTGCATAAGGAGATCTCAGATTCTAAAATGTAAAACTTCTTTCATTGGGATTATTAAGTGACTTTCAATGATGTCCACAGATGTTCATGCACCCACTGTAATGCTTTAAAATTTTTCCTTGTGTTTTTTTATAACCAGCCTAATAGATGGTCTAAAATTAGAGGAATGGGGAATGAGGTAGCCTTTGAACTATTACCAATTTTTTGACACCAGAATGTTCTTTTGTATCAATATATCTTCATTTTATAATTGCAACACATGATATTGAATTGCTCTGAAAAATTTACCAACTAAATTATATTACCAAATATCAGCTTATACTTTGTGTGTTTTTCCTAAACTGGTATATTATGCCCAAATAAAAAGAGGATTAACCATTTTAGCTGATAAATGCCTTTTTAGAAAACAGATGGGCATCTATAAAATATTTTTGTTTTATAGTTATACAGAAACAGCCTGGCAAATACAACAGTTTTAAACATCTGATGATCCAGGTAATCATTTGGGGTAAACGTTTTATATAAGAAGCATTGTAAATATATATTAACAAAAGGAATTTTATATTGCCATTTTCTCTTTTTTACAAGAATGAGAATGAAAAAGGATATAAAATCTTAAATATTTTCTAGTAAACCTTTAGTGACTAAAAAAAGCATTGGCCAGGTCTCACACATGGGTGGCAGGGCCCCAGGCGCTTGGGTTCTCATCTGCTGCTTTTCCTGGGCCATTGGCGGGAAGCTGGATAGGAAATGGAAAGGTCAGGATAGGAACTGGCGCCCATACTGGGTGCCACTGTCATAAGCAGCGGCTTTGGTCGTTGTGCCACGATGCCAGCCTCAGAATCCACTTTCTTTTTTTTTTTTTTTTTTATCACACATGAATTTGATTGAAAATGAGAGGTAAGTCAACCAATCAGGACTGGCTACTGATCAGGACCGACACTCCTTACCAGAGTGCGGCCCCCAACAGCGGGTTACACAACTTTTTATAATATTCTGTCCACTAGGGCTCACAATTTTGAACCAAACCCCTGGTATGCAGTGAACAATAAACATTCATTAATTGCAATACACAACTTAGATATGATATAAGCTTAGATAATTCATTTATTCAGAAAATCACTTACAATTGTGAGTATGTTAGCTATATAATAAAAATTATTGTAAAAATATTTTATATATCATATCTATGCTTTTAAAAATATGTGTTTGGGACTGGCATTGTGGCATAATGGGTAAAGCCACCACCTGTAGTGCCGGCATCCCATGTGGGCGCCAGTTCAAGTCCTGGCTGCTTCACTTCTATTCCGGCTCTCTACTATGTCCTGGAAAGGCGGTAGAGGATGGCCCGGGTCTTGGGACCCCTGCATCCACATGGGAGGATCCGGAGGAGGCTCCTGCCTTGGCTTTGGATCAGCGCAGCTCTGGCCATTGTGGCCAGTTGGGGAGTGAACCAGTGGATGGAAGACCCCTCTCTCTCTGCCTCTCCTTCTCTCTCAGTGTAACTCTGATTTTCAAATAAATAAATAAATCTTTTAAAAAAAAAAAAAAAAAAAAAAAAGCATTGGCCATTATTTGAATGAACATAATACTGAGGAAATGTGTGGACGGATGTATTTTTGGATGTTTCAGAATGTTCCTTCAGTGTGTCATTTATTTTCAGATGAAAAATGTTCTCTACCTTATAACACTACTATTTTTAGGTTGTATTCAAGAAATAAGTAGTTTTCTTGAATACCAGTGAGTATCAGGTATTGTGTTGAATTACATTTATGACTTACAAATAAAATCAATGCAAGATGAAAAATGATTATAGTTAAATACAACAAAAACTTTGTGAGAGGGTGAAACTTTGACTGGCTTTGGATGTGAGTATGTGTCTGTCCTTTTCACGTTGAGAATTAACAACCTTACTTAAATATTCATATATTCCCCAATAAACCCCAATTTGACTAAAAAACCAAATGAGTTAATGCAAGGGCAGTTCAGCAGGTAGGTAGGTAGATAGATAGATAGACAGACACTTCAAGCAGTTTATGGAAAATTAGAATTAAAAGATAAGTTTATTTTTGTGCAAAAATTTTATGAAATCTATTTTTTCAAAATATGCGATTTTCCATGAGCTTTTTGAAAATCCCCTGTATTCGTGGGTTTCAAAAATTTTTTACAAAATTAATATCTTTCAAAAAAAAATGTACCATCCACTGGTTATAGTCTCCAGATTCCAGCAAAGGAGCTGGCTTGTGACAGAACCAGGGAATTCAGTCTAGGTCTCCCACGAGACCTAGCTACTTGAGCCAGCACCACTGTGTCCCAGAGTGTGCATTGGTGGGAAGCTGAAGTCAGAAGTTGTAGCCAGGAATTGAAATCAGGTACTTCAATGTGGGACCCAAGCCCCTTATCCACTTATCCACTAGGTTAAAGGCCTGCTCCATCATCTTTAAATTCCATACATGATATGCTGAAAAGCGGACCCAAGGCTGCCAATGTGACCACTAAGAAAGTCTGATGAAAGAGCCTGATGCTGCAGTGGGAAACATTTTCTTTGTCTTTGCAGCTGTTTGCTGTGATGTCACCTCAGAAAGAAGAGAAGTGGAGAGGGTCTACTTCTAAATGATAGGTGATATTGATCATGAATAAAAGGGAATGCACGTTTCTTTCTCTCAAACACACATACACAATGGCATTCTTGAGAGCATACTAAAATGCCCATTGCTGGCAGTGAAGGAGGGAAAACAATGTAAGAAAGTATGAAAGCTGAAGCTTAAAAATGTTTTTGACTGGCTGGAAAAATAACACTTAATTATTTTCTTTGCATTTTTCTTCTTGAGGGCTGTAAGTACTGGTTATCAGGTTCAGTGCTCCTTCAGCACCTTTTGGCTGAAAGCTAGGACGACAACTGTGTGGATGTATCTCGAGGAGACTGAACAAGCACACGAAACAAGTGCCTGAGGAAGCTATCCCATGACCATATCCATATCCCCTTTTGGAAAGACACAATTTTCACCTTTTAGCATCTCCTTTTTTCTCCCCCCTCTTGTTTGTGTAATATACTGTAGCTTGTGCTCGCTTTGGCTGTACATATCCTAAAATTGGAATGATCCAGAGTTCAGCATGGCCCCTGCACAAGGATGACTTGCAAATTCATGAAGCATTCTGTATTTTATATCTCATTAATTGATATTCTTCAAATTTTTAAATAAAATTCCTGAATTGCAATTGAAAAAAAATATATTATAGCTTTTGTTTATCTATGGCCTATAAGCCCAGTTTATTTTCCCCTGATTGGTATCATGTATACAGCTTCCTAAGGAAACTTTTTTGAAGTAGACTGGCATAGTGTTTGCTAGTGGTAATATTACTAGTAATATACATAAGAGTATTTCCCAAGTGAAGCAATATAATTAGTACTACCAAGAATACAGAGAGAGAGATTCAAATGCCTGTCTACAAACAAGATAAATATCATATAACCAAATCAGTACACAGTAACCCATTCAGCTCAAGAGAAGATTTTATGCAAATTATTTTCCTTTTAGCTAAAGAACGGTTTAGAAAAATTAGATAGAGCTACAATTCTAAATCATGTAAATCAATTGAGTCAACAAAAGGCATTTAGGTAGAAACTTGGTTTTCCAACATTATAGTTGCAACTTATTGGCCTTAATAATAACCTAGTTTGCAGAAAAGTTGGAAACAATATGAATTTGCCACTATTCTGAGGGAATTCTGCTAGCAAACAATTCAGTGCAGTTAGTGTGAGTATGGGCTGTGAGTCAGCAGTGTCAGCAATAGGTCATCACTCACATTCTTAGTAGATGGGTTCCAGGTATCTGTTCTAATAAGCTCCTGGTAATTCTTATGCATGACAGAGATTGAGAACCACTATTGTAGAGTGTAGCAGTACGTCTTAGTCTTTGTCAGGAAAGCACTTCCTGAAATTTTATGTAGATTTCTATCAGAAGATTTTTTTAAAAGATTTATTTATTTATTTATTTATTAGAGAGGCAGAGAGAGAGAGAGAGGTCTTCAATCCACTGGTTCACTCCCCAGATGGCCACAACGGCTGGAAATGTGCCAATACAAAGGCAAGAGCCAGGAACTTTTTCCAGGTCTCCCACATGGGTGCAGGGGCCTAAGGACTCGGGCCGTCTTCCACTTCTTTCCCAGGCCATAGCAGAGAGCTGGATCAGAAGAGGAGCAGCAGGGACTGGAACAGGCACATATATAAGATGCTGACACTGCAGGTGGTATATGGGATGCTGGTACTGCTATGCCACAGCAGCAGCCTCAGAAGATATTTTTAATATAAAAAATAAAACATGGTCATCTTAGAAATGTGGAATCTATCTAAATGAAGTTTATAGACTCTACTTTGCTTCAGTTGAGGCCAAGTTGAGACAATATACAAACATTTCCTATAGTAGTTTTTAAATTTTTTGTTTGTTTGAGAAGCAGAGAGAGAAAGAGAGACAGGGAGAGAGAGAGAGAAAGAGAATGAGAGAGATATTCCATCCTTGTGATGGCTGTACCTGGGTCAAGCCACAGCCAGGAGTAGTAAACTCAATCCAAATCTCCCATATGGATGGCAGGAACCCAATTACAAGAACCATTATTTGCTGCCTCCCAGGGTCTGCATTAGCAGGAGGCTTAAGTTAAGAGTCAGAGACAGGAATTGAACTCAGGTATTCTGATGTGGGACCCAGGCATCTTAACCACTAGGCTAAACACCCACCCCATTATGTGAATTTAAATATCATAGAGCACAACAGTGTTAAATAGATTTATTATGAAGCAGTTTGCTCTATTTGTTTTATATGTATGTAAAGAGCTTCCCTGAAAAACCAGCCATAGTTTTGAGGGTGTACGGCAGGTCTGCTGTTGCTTGTATCCCTTCCCAGCCAGGATCACATACAAAATGAGAGCACAGCGGAAATACAACAAGGCAATGATTGTTGCTTGATAAAAATGATGTCTGCGATTTTTGGAAAGACCTCAGTGAATCTGTCAACGCTGAGATGCCCATAAGAGATAGGTAGTGGAACATAGATTTAGTCAACAGACATTTGTTGAATAGACTCATAGAAGTATAGTAAAAATCGGCTTAGAGAGCTTCTCATCACCTCATGTATCTCCTCCTGGACATGGGGGGTGACAGTGACTTCTATACTGCCATCCAACAGAGCGCACTCTCCCGATGGAGTGAGCAGGTTGTAAAGCATGAGACACAACTGCCTGAAGAAATGATGTGTTTGTCACTGAGAAATCAAACCATGAGTGTACACTGAATAGTGGCCACAGGGTACCAGCACAATGGAAGGTGTCAGGGAGAAAGATAGGAGAATCAATGGACAAAAGGCTTTCAACTTTGTTGAAGACAGAGTGACTGCCTACTAAAAAAAGCAAGAACAGCCACACTAAGCAGAGTCTGTTTATTATAAATACAAATTGAGTCCAAACAAGAAAGTAGTGCTTTTTATTACAGAAACTGAAACTCAAAGCGAATACTCAGGTCACAAAAGTGAGGAATATTTGTACTGGCAACTGAAAAGGCCTCCCTGAATGATTCTCCAGAGCTCTCATTTCTTCCCTTGTCTCTGCCTTACCCATGGCACTGTCAGCCTCATCCTAAGACCAACTTTTCCATTGTTTCAAGGTATTCTCAACAGCTTCTACACCTGTGTGTTTGTTTTCACAATTAAGAAAACAGTGCATGTGTGCATGTGTGTGTGTGTATGTTATATATACATATATATATAGTGTATATATATATATATATATATCAGCATTTTAGCAAAAACCCTAACAAATTTCATATGCTTATCCTGGAACCAAATATGCCATCCAAAGCAATTCTGTGCCTAGGTTTAGCCGATGTCTCAAGTCCCACTTGTAACGTGGAGGAGGGAAACAGCAGGGTTGAAACCACTGTCTTGCCAAACACATCTCGTGACTGGTAAGAAGGAAGGAGTGGAAGATAAGGAGGCAGACACCAGACTCTTAATAGAAGGGGAAAAGGGAGGCAAGAGTAACAAAGGAATACTTCCTGTAAGAGGTGGTTCCAGTCTGGCTGTAGAAGGATGTAAATGGAGGGAATGCAAACACTCCAAGTAGTGAGAAGTGGAAAAGGAAAGGTGAAAAATTAGTGTGAACAATGGGAACAATGAAGCAGTGCTGATGAAATCAAAAACCATCGCACGGGAGAGTACAGGAACTGCATTTGGGTTGGGGGCCATATTTCACAGGGCAGACAGTGTAGATTTAATGAAGCGCTGGGGAGTCATAGATTGGTAGAGTAGAGAAGTCACAAAGTGCAAGTAGTCACATACACTATTTTGCTCTTTCCCAAACCAATTCCAAGTGTCTTCTTTATCTTAAGCAAACAACCAGGCACAAGGTGCTGGATATACAGAGATAAAAGGCCCAGATTCGGCACCTGGAGGAGTTCCCCGCCTGGCAACGCCACAGACTTCATGACGCAAACCACGCCCAACAGATTTTACCTCACTAATTCAGTTATCACTAGAAATAGAAAAATATGATAACATAGGATTTTATATTTTGGTATGACATATTACATTCCCTGAATTTTGGAGTCTTTATATTCTGATTTAAGACAGGTTTGGTCTTCCTTCTCTCTGGCCACAGTAAAATAAGGCCTCATGAGCTGTGGATGTGAGAAAGAAATTGAGAAGTATAAGCTGCAAAGGATACTCAAGTTATTTTGGGGAAAAATGTATTACCAGATCTTGAAAAGAAATGCCCTACAAAGGAAGTTGCAGGGCCGAGAGAGAGAGAGAGAGAGAGAGAGAGAAGGATCTCTTGCATGCCCCACGAAAGAGTCCTCCTGGCTCCCAGTGGGGCTGGGCAGCTTGGCTGTTCTGTGCAGCAGGGACGGGTGTCAGGTTGCTGCAGGTGTCGCTGACGGCCGGTGAGTGATTGCACCATCAGCTTCCTACCGCGATCCATCATGCGGCCCCAGCCGGTGAAGAATCACAGCCTCTGCAAGGTGCTGAGCCCAGCAACATATCATTAAACAAGGTTACCACCGGCAGATTTGTTCCCATGATCAATCTGGTCAATAACCGTTCCACCTCACTGTACAATCTCTCCCCCACGCCCCCACCCTCCAACATAAACAAGTATTATGAAAGCACTTGCAGAACAATGTAAAGCTTTCAGAAGTCTTCATTTCTCCCGTGGCATTCTGCAAGCTTCTTTAAAAACCCTTATAAATCATGAAAAATAACCTTTACTACAGGATATACCCTCAGGCAAGTGCTCTATCCTAATTCCATATTTTATTACCTGATACTCACTGATTTTTTCCTCCAATTGATTACTGAATAGCATTGGGACAATTTCTTTTTTTATTTCCCCTCAAGTCTGCATAGCTCACTAGTTTCTTCCCTTAGGAGGTCCCAAATGAGATAGAAGTAAAACACTTATTGCTTTTACTGCTCAACTTTAATTCTTGTGTTTTGCATTTAACTCTCCACGTGCCTTGGCCGACAAATCATTCAATGGTATTGGATATTTGACTAACAGAAATGTCTTGACTTTGTTCTGGTGTGATTGAGACCAGTAAGTGTTATAATGATTAGAATTGAGGAAAAATGAACAGTAATTTCCTGAGAAAAACCTAGTAAGTGTGTCCTACTTGCTAGTTTGACAGAAGATCCCAATATATATGAGAAATTTTAAAAAATGAAAAAGCCTATTTATGTGAGTTTTTATCCCAGAAAAGAAATAACATTTTCCAAAAATAACTCATCATTTTCCACTGAGTTCCTGTGATTAGTTTAGGAAACTTGCATGCCAGTCCAGTTAGTATACTTTCAGTATAAAATCACCTAGAATATTAATCTTGCTCTAACAGAAGCTCTTTCCCCATTCCAAAATTAAATTCATGATGTGATTGCTTCTATGAGTCACTTGTGGTTGTAAGTTTATATCCATGTAATTAACAGATACCCATCTATGTATATCTGATTAAAAATGGACACTGGTGACTATGGCCTTCTTGAAAGGGTTTGGTTATATAACCAAGCTGAATAACTGATTCTGGAGAAACTTAATTAGCAAATATGAACTCCAACGCCATACCAAACTTTGAAAACTTTGACTAGTACGTAAAGACTATTCTCACTCATACATCTTAAGCAT